AAATCGAATTTTTTGGATGATTATAAAAATGAAATAGGTAAATGGTCAACTACATTAATTAAAAAATGGAATAATTGTAAGTTAAAAAATATAATGGTAAATACCATGGAATGTGTAATTTAACTTACAATTATTCCATGGAATGTGTTCAAAAAAGTGGGGTCAAAATTAGAGATGTGAAAAACTTAATTGTGTATCTTGTCTTTATAAATTATTATATAAATAAATAGATAGATGGTTGTTATATGTAATTAAAAAAATAGTACCTAAAATATATATATCCAGATGATATATAATGATATGTATAGATTGATATGACAAACCTTCTTTCAATATAAATTGATATGTTTACTATATATGGACATAATTAAAATAAATGATATTTAACTCTAAAAGATAACAAATAGAAATGATTAATAAAATATAATAAATACATGAATCTAAATTTATAAAATATATTACTGTATTAAATTTATTTTAAAAGATTCTGAATATTATTATAATAAAAATATCGATTTTTTTTTTTTTTGCGTAGAATTCAAAAAGTTTCAAAATCTTTTAAAATTTAAAAATATATGCGTTATTAAAAAAAATTGAAAATATATACACAATATAAAAAAAATGAATATTATGCATTGAAGAATAAATATTTTTCGAATTTATATATAGATTAACTACATTAAAGAATATATGTATATGTGGTAATGTTTAATATATAGATTAAATAGTACAATTAAAAAAATAAAATATTTTTTATAATTATTTTTAATAGAATGGATATTGGAATATTCCAAAATATTGAAAATTAAAAAAAGAAAAAAGAAAAAAAAAACAATTGTATTGCTTTATTTTAATATTTGAATATCAAAAAAATATATTTTTTTCTGAAAATTATTTGAATATTCGTAAAAAAATTGGGTATCATGGTTTTTTCAATAAATATATTTTGAAATATTGAAAATATAAATAAGATTTTTTTTCGAATTTATAAAATATTAACTTTGGAAATAATATATATACATGTGGTAACTGTTTAAATGAGGTATAAATATTAAATAGAAAATAATTTAAATACAACATACCAAAATGAAATTGACAACTCACCAATTGAAGAATCCACCTAAGCAATTGAACTCCAACTAAGCAATTTTGATAAATGACATCATCATTTGCCACATGTCAATCATTGAAGGCATAGATCCTCTTTTTATATTATATATAGATTACAATGTTTGTATATTTTTTTTAAATATAGTTGATTTTGCATTTTTTTTTTGTAATTGTGATTTGTTATTTTTAATAGTTAAATTTTTAATCGACTATGCATTAATAAACCTGATAGAGAAAACAAATTAAAAAAACCGAAAAAAACTTAAAAACAAAATTAGAAACAAAAAAAAAATTAAAAAAATAAAGATTTTCCTTAATCGACTATGAAGCATAGTCGATTAAGGCTAATCGACTATGCTTCATAGTCGATTAAGGAAACTGATACCAGAAAAGAAGGGGGGGGGGGGGGGGGGGGGAAAACCCGGAGGGGGGGACCCCCGGGAGAAGGGGGGGGGGGGGGGAAAACTGGGAAATTTGAAAACCCAAAAAGGGAGGGAACTTTTTTTAAAATTGACTGAAATTTTTTGACCTCTGTGCTGAAAAAGAAGTAATAAGGGGGTTTGCTCAAAGAGCCCCGAAATATTCAACCCACCATTATAATTTTAATTAAAAAGTCTATTGTACCCGTAACTTATTTCTTCCATTCACCACCACACTGACTGTATCTATTTTTCTATTCACACGGATTTAAACAAAGTTTGCAATTTTTTTTTGGGTTATTTTACATACCCCCTAGCCACCAAATAAACTAGGGATAAATCCAAACCCAGATCATCCTTTGACATACCCCTAGAGAAGGGAAAATACTATACTACCCTTATATGCAATTTTCGGCCAAACTGCATTCAGCATTTCTGGTACTGTATTTATCATTTTCGCTGATTTATTTATTATTATTTTTTTTTATAAAATAATAATAAGCATGTTTGTTAAATTTATATATATTTATTTTTTTTAATTTTTTAATTTTTGTTTTAAATAAAAAAAAAATTAATTTTTAATTTTTTTAATTTTCAAAATAATATGTTTGTTGTGCTGAAAATAACTACATGTAACTATAGTACCTATAGTAATTTGAGTTATATTCGTTATTTTTCCCCATATTTTTAGTTGATCAATTGTATACACACACGAATACTGGCTTATACAAAAGAAATTCATAAACCCCAATAAAAATTTACAAATGTCAATATTTTTATTATAAATCACCTCAGAACCAAAAAAAAATAAATAATTGAAAATACACTAATATATGCATATATAACTACATGTTACTATATATGTATAGTAATGTATACAGTTTGTCAAACACTGCTTCACATGTGATCCAAAATTATTGATATAAAATCATAAAAACAACTTAAAATCAGAAATTTAGAAAAAAATGCAAATTTGGTGGAAGTTTAATCTTTATAATATAAAAAACGTGTATTTATATATAAAAAAAAAATTGAACTTTCAATGTAAAGTTTGATGATTTAAAAGAACAAATTATGGAATATTAGGAAAAATATCTGATTTTTAACATAGACTACTTATATTTATATTTTGTAAAATGTAAAATATTAGGAAAAAAAAATATTGTAATAAATTATATTGTTATCATATTAGTTTCCATGTTAATCATAATTGTAATAATTTTAATTTATACATAAATCTTTTGAAATAAGGTAAAAAATAAAGAATACAAAATGTGATAAGGATTAATTAAGCGAAGAAGTCAAAAAATAAAATAAAAAAAATAAATGTGGGATCAAAATTGGAGATAATCAACCCTCATTAGGAGAGTTGGTACATAGCTTTTACCAATACGGTAAAGGTCTAGAGTTCGAGTCCCCCTCCCCTTTTTCCCCTTGTAATGGACTTGATTTACTAAAAAAAAATTGGAGATGTGAAAACATCAATTGTATACCTTAGCTTTATATATTATATACATCAAAATTTCTAAGATTAGAGGTCCTAAAATTAATTTAAACATATAAACAAATTTAGTGAAATCATAAATTAGGATCTAATCATAGCATAAATAAAATCATAACTTAATCAAATACATTCACGAACAGCATGTACCTTAGGTAAATTATGAAATTAGGCCATTAACTATTTTTCACCAATTTGGCCGAGAACACATACACAGAAACATAAACCTCTCCAGAAAAAAAATGTTTAAGGATCTAAAAACAATAATAATTTAATTGAGAAATTTATTCTCGTTAATATATATTTTCTTTTGGATTAAATTCTCGTCAATATTAATTGGGCAAATAGCAAATATGCTCAAGACAAGGGCACTTAATTAAAAGAAGGACATTCAAATTTTTTGTCTTTCAAATAAATTCAGCCCATCAGCCCATTCAAACTTATTTGCAAATAAGAAAAATCATTTTATATATATCAAAATTACTCTCAATTCATTGAAACTCAATTCAACTCCAATTTCATGATTTACACCTCAATTTAGCCCAATTTCATCAATGAACCAATTTTAACCTTAATTTCAATTTTGACCCCAATTTTGACCCGCCACCACCGGAGACTGCCGGTCAGCCGCCGTTGACCGCCGGTCTCCGGCGTTGACTTTTTTTTTTTAAAAAACTTTTTTTTAATTTAGTTTTTTTCTTAAAAAAAATATTTTAGTTTTTTTCTTAAAAAAAATATTTTAGTTCTTATCACTGTCTTGGCTACTAAATTACTGTCTCCAACATATATTTAACTGTCGGAGACAGTAATTTAACCGTTAATTGACCTTTTTTTTTCTTCAAAAATATTTTAATTAATATTACTGTCTTGGTTGTTAAATTACTGTCTCCAACAGTTATTTAATTGTCGGAGACAGTAATTTAACTGTTAATTGACTTTTTTTTCGTAAAAAATATATTTTTAATTAATATTACCGTCTTGGCTCCTAAATTACTGCCTTCCAACAGTTATTTAACTGTCGGAGACAATAATTTAATTGTTAATTGACTTTTCTTTTTTTTGAAATTTTTTTTCTTAAAAAAAAATATTTTAATTAATATTACTGTCTTGGCTGCTAAATTACTGTCTCTAACAGTAATTTAACTGTCTCAGATAGTAATATTAATAATATTATTGTTCGGGAAAATAATATTCATAATATTACAGTCCCAAACAGTAATATTATTAGTTGAGACAGTAATTTAGTAGCCAAGAGAGTAATATTAACTAAAATATTTTTTTCTAAGAAAAAAAATTGAAAAAAGAAAAGTCAACGCCGGAATCTGGCCGGAAAAAAAAAATCAAAAAAAAAAAATATTTTTTCAAAAAATTATTATTTTGGAGTTAATGTGATATATTTGTTTAAATCCGGGGTCAATGTGTAATATTAAGGAAGCTAGAGCATAATGGATGGAATTTATAAGAATTATATTATGGAGGGTATTTTAGACTAAAGACACGTGGATGAGTTTATTTGAAAAACTGTTTAAATCCTGCTATTTCCACCACAAAAATATTTCAACCCACCTTTATAATTTTAATTTTCAAATTAATTTTAATTAAAAAGTCTATTGTACCCATAACTTATTTCTTCCATTCATTCACCACCACATTGACTATTGACTGTATCTATCTTTCTATTCACACGGATTTAAACAAAGTTTGCAAAAACTTTTTCTCATTTTAATTTCTCTATAACTCTTGTTCTCAATTTAAATCCCATATTTGTTTCATCATGTGCCTCTTTACACAATAAGCCATTAAAAGAAATAACTTTTATTCATATATAAGATCCTATTCGAAGTAATTTGAATCAACAACTTTAAGACTCTTAAGAGAAACATATCTATAAGAGTTTGGGGGTAAGAAAATGAAGTTTTAGGTGTGACAAACACCTGCAACTACTACTATTTAGATATAATTTGAAAAATGCAAAAGATCATAATATCAATTCATGGATACAAATTTCGAATTAAATTCGATCTAGATTTTGGTAACGATGATCTTCTTCTGTACATCTCTCAGAGGTAATTTTTTTTGCTTATTTCTTCCATTTTTTTTTTTTGGCTGAAATTGCGTTGTATGATCAATTTATGTTTCGATTGTATGTTAATTTATTCTCAGTATCAATTTTGCAAAGTTCGCATTGTATGATCAATTTATGTTTCGATTGTATGTTAATTTATTCTAGTATCAATTTTGCAAAGTTCGCATGTGGTACTATTGTTGGCCAAAAACCTACACGCATGTGCACGTATCGTACAAGTAATATAGTGGACTAAAAGTCCGGATATCGAACCCACAGGGAATATTTAATTATTTAATATTTAATTATTTAATCCTAGACGCTAAATTCTACCAATTAGTATCAAGCCCACCCTACACAGTCGAAAGATGATTAATAAACTAAATTAAACTAAAGCAATTAAAAAGACAAAAACACAGAAAGCAATTAAAACGAAGATTTAATCAGATAAAACGAGCCTAGGATTTTATTCTTCCCCTTTGTGATTATTATTCCCCCAATTCCTTCAATTATGCAAGCAATTAACCCGGATTATTAACCTGAGATGCTAAAATAATCATAACCCGCTTCCCCGTGTATTACAATTCTAACACTCTAGATTCAATTACTATATTCCTATGCAATTAATTCTAGAACATAGCATTAAGAACAAATCTCAATAATGGCTACCTAAGAGATTAACTATATTCCGATGTTAATACCACAAAGGCTCTTCTACCACAGTTCTAATTATTAACCCGATCTTCCGATTCATGCGATTAACAATAACATAAAAGCACATAAGTTGATCAAGTTCATGCACTTAATAAAACAAGTAGAAGAAATAATCCGGAATTAAAACTTGCATAAAATCATAGAATTGGGTTCGTAAATCCCACATAGGGTTCCAAATAAAATCCTAGAAAATAAAGACTTAGCTACTCGTAATTCTTATGATAAATAAAATAAAATAAATTAATTAAATAAGAAAAACTATGCTTGAATCTTCGTTGATCTTCTTTGCTCTTGAATTTGCGTAAAAAGATCCCCAATTGTGTGCTTGGTTTGGTCTTATATAGGGTGAAGAACTTGGGGAAGAAGGCAGTTTCCTTGTGCGATTAAAATCCCTTTACTGCGCAACTTCGGAGTCTCGGACGGGGGTCCCACAATTTAAACTAAAACTCGGACGAGGTCCGAGCTTTAAATCTTCAGAATTTTGATATTTTCACTTTTGGCCCATATTTTCTCCAAAATTGCAGTTTTGACCCCATACTTTTCCAATTCTTCAATTTGTACCTAAAATACAATAAATCAACTTTTTAAGCACCAATTATCGTTAAAACACACCAAAAGCTCAAATAAAAAGATACGATAAAGTGTAAAAATATACACTTAACAACTATACTAGTAATTAGAATTGGCATTGTTAGTATTTTGCTTTGTTCATCAAATTTATGTTCGGCGTTCGGCCAAATAAAGCCGGTGCTTTTTCTCGTTTTACCGTGTGCTTGTTCTAATTTTCTTATGTTTTATTGTTTCTTATGGTGTTAATTTATGTATTTATGAGAGTGTTAGATGATAATTTTACAATTGGGAAACTGATAATGGTAAGTGATTCGTGAAAGATGGAAGGGGATGCTGGAAAGCAAGTCGTTGTATATTACATATACATATATTATGTTCAACAATGTCTAGTATTTGTTGTGGTTGCTCTGGCTTCTTTGGTTTTTCTTTTGTGTTCGTCTTTGTTTTATGTTTTTAGTCTTATGTTCTGGTCATTGCTTCAGTGTTCTATGGCCTACTTTCCCCGGTCTGCAAGTCGAACATGCTTAGTATATTAGTTAATAACTAAGGCTTAGCCTATGTGCAATTTGAATCCGTTCGAGTGCGTCTGTCGTAAATGGCCATTTAAAAATAAAATAGTAGATAAGCTAATAAGATTACACCATATGATCCATATCTCGTTCTTGAATATTGTTTTAATGGGATTTTCAAGTTTATTCCATTTACTTCTGTTTGCAACGAGATATCATATCTCTGTATCGTGTCTATATCTGCCAATCTCAAGCTTCTAAATTTAAACATTTAGTAAAAGTTTCAAGAGTTAAAGAGTCGAAGTATCATGTTATGTAAACTTGGGTTCCATAAAAACAAAGTTGGTGAGGCAGGACGTCAAAGAAGAAGCTGAAGAAATGTTTAGGGGATATTGTGATGAAAATAGTTGCATCACAAAATTATTAAAATTTGTAGTTGTTCTGTTTGGTTCTCGTCTCTTTCTTTTCCAATTAACCTTTTCTTAAGTAATCAAGTATTATGACGGATCCCTTGTACAGAATAACGTTTATTAAAATTATCTTTATATCTTATTGGTACGAACTAAGCTTGTCTAGTATACGCATTTTAACAGGTCTAGTCAGCTCAAACGTCTTCAACTTGTAAATTGCTATGGCATATCATACGATTGTTTGATCGAAGCAATTAAAAACTTGCCTCTTTTGGAGGAGCTGCATCTATATTACATCTATATCATTCCGGAAACTATTGCAAGTATCGGCCGCAGTTGCCCACTATTGAAGTCGTTTACATTGAACAGCCACCGGTCCAAGCACGTAGTGTGTGATCTCGAGGCGCTAGCAATTGCAGAAAACATGCCTGGACTAGTCCACCTTCAACTTTTCGGAAATACAATGACCAATGAGGGCTTAAATGCCATTCTCGAAGGTTGTCCAAATCTCGAATCACTTGATCTGAGACGATGTTTCAATGTCCTTTTATGTGGGGACTTGGGAAAATTATGTTCCGAGAGGATTAAAGATCTTAAGCTTCCTCATGACTCGATCGATGATTATAAATTCCGTGACACTGAAATTATCAGTGATGAAGCATCCGATGATGATTATGTTTCTGGGTTTTCTGACATGGATATGGTGTCTGATTACGAAGATTATTTGTCTCGGGAGGTGAGTATGATTCTGAAGACGGGCTTTGGTATTAATTAACGACGTTAAATGAAGGGGGAATTGGTAATGATGGTATCATCTTCTGTAATCTCTTAGTTCTTTCTGGTTGCTGATGACTTGGGCTTATTTGTCATCTAATAATGGAACTCGTTGTGCTTTTGTTATGTAAAATTTGGTCTACTGTTGTGTAAAATTTGTTATTTTGCGAAAATATATCAACAAAATGAGTTTACAAATGTTTTGTAGGGTTAAGATAATTTTCTTTTACACTTCTAACCTAATCATATATACATTTTTTTTTCTTTTACATATCACAATTATTTTTACTTTTTGAAGTAATATTACTTACTATATCATTAAATGTGCAGATATATTGATTGATATTTAGAACTCTTATGATTGACAATTCATTTATAATTTGTAAATTTAGCAAAACGATTTATTGATTCGAGTTGGTACATAGTTTTCACTTGCGTCCCGATCTCCATTAGTAAAGTTGCTACTCGATTATTTAATCCGAATGTGTCGAAGGGACTATTACATTTTAAATCACAAGTGAACTAACTACTTAATAACAATTAAAATTCTGATTTTGTTACACATGAAAGCATCAATTTAATCCACAAAAATTAACTAGTCCTTGATCATCATTAATTCAACCAGGCGACGGACTTTGAGCATCAACAAGCGGAGAAGGAGATGGAGTATTTATCGAATAATCAACGGAGTTGCTAATTATTTCATCAACAACAACCACACTAACCTTCACTCCCAATTCGCAGTAATTCGAGACGTTGCATACGAAATAGTAAACCCCTTTTCGCGGCAAAGCGACAGTTGTCGGGCCCTCCATGAAAGCATCCAACGGCTGATCTCCGCTGCAACTGTCGAACTCTCCTCTCGGAACTTGAATCACGTTGTAAAGCCCCGAGTCGAAGTCGAAATCTACATTAATTATATGTTTCTAAATAATGAGGGAGTAAGTAATAATTAATTAAAAGGGGAATTGTATTAAGATATTATTATTATTGTTGTTATTATGATGTTACGACGATACTGATCAGACGACGACGAGGTACGTACAGAGGGAATCGCCGGTGTGAAAAGAGTAAGAGGAGGACCAGTTGGTGTAGAAATGGTTGGTTGGAGGAATAGACCATATTGAATCTCCAACTATGTGCTGCTTCTGCTTCTTCTTCTTCAAACCATTTATTGAACAAACTATTGTACCCATTATTACTATTTTTATTATTACCACTAATCTCAACATCCTCCCTTTTGATGCGGCCATTGCCATTTTTGTTTGTCTGTGTGCGTGTGTGTGTGTGTGTGAGAGAGAGAGAGAGAGAGAGAGAGAGAGAGAGAGAGAGAAGGAAGCGGTTTCCAGTTCTTCTTGTGAAGAAACAACGTGAGGTTTTTTTTTATGAAGACCCCTCGTATTTCAAGAATATTACGTAAACCCCCTTTTAATGTTTAATTTTCTAAAAACCTTCGCATTATTTAACTCATTAAATAATATTGTATTTTTTCATTTTAAAATTATGATATCTTATCTTAATTGTTTATAGAATTTAATCGTGTTGTGAGTTGCATTTGTTTATTTCACGTTAGTCTTATTTCTATATAAATAAAATTAAGTGCTTTTAGATATTATGAAATATTTACAAGGTCACATTACAAATAAGTTCAACTAGTGATACTTAGGTGGTGTTTGTAAAAGCTTATTTAAAAGCAGAAGTTAGTGATTGTGAGTTAAGTTGGAATTAAGTGATTATTTTCAAAAGTTGGGTTGTTTGCAAATTAGCTTAAAAATCAACTAGAATAGAAAAAATAGGTACATGGGTGTTTTTAAAATTATAGCTAAAAATAGCTTTCTTTAAGAGAAGCAAAAGCCAAAGTTTATTTTGCAAACACCTAAAAACAGATTATGTGAAGAAAAAAACTCATAATCTATTTCTAAAAGCATTTGCAAACACCACTTTATTCAAAACAAAGGGTCAAGACAAAAAAGTAATATTTTACAAAAAAATCCACACATTGTCCAGGTGTGTAAAAGACTAAAATATCCCCTTACATTTTAATACGCTCCAATTTCATTATTTAATTTAATTTAACCTCAATTTGACCCCAAATTTCACAAATTATTCAATTTTGACTCAAAACTCAGTTTTGAGTATATATTCTCCCATCACGCCAGTCTCCAGGGTTGACTTTTTTTCCCCCGATTTTTCTGTCGGTTTTCTGTCGAGGTTAGCAATATTGTTGTGGTTGACAGTAGTAATATTAACTATATTATTTGTTAAACACATTAATATTAACTATACTACAGTATAACACAACATTAACACAACAAAAGTCATTATTATTGTGAAATAGAGTAATATTAATATGTTGACCGTTCTTTTTTTTTTCCTTAAGTAAATTCAAGTCCATTACAAGAGGAAGTAAGGGAGGGGGAACTCGAACCCTAGACCGTTACCCTATTGTTAAAGGTTAGGGACCAACTCTCCTAATGAGAGTTGGTTAATATGTTGACCGTTCAACAGAGGTAAATATAATAAAAAGTCAAAAGAATTAATATTGATGTGGTTGACTGTAATATTATTGTCATCCACAGTAATATTACTGTAACAACAGTAATATTACCGCCCACCACAGTAATATTATTGTATTTATCGTAATATTACAATAGTAGACAGTAATATTATTACGTTAATCCGTCAACAACTCAAACAAAACAAAAAATCCAAAAAAAAAATAATAATGATGTGGTTGACAATAATATTATTGTGTTTACAGTTATTTTACCGTCAACGGCAGTAATATAATTACGTTGACTTGCTTAATGCTAGAAATCGATCACCTTAAATTGAGGGAGCTGTGAGAGCAAAGTGGATCACTGCTCACGTGCTAGATGATCCTAAGATACCTGCGAACAGAGAACACATGAACTATGTCGGGGTTTGATCTGGCAGAAACCCCTCCAACGCTCAAGTCTGACGTGCGGATTGTAGAAATAGTTGAGAGAATATGAATTGTTCAATTGGTTCGATAATAGGTCGTACCTTTAATAAATGAATTATATCGTTATTTATATCATGTCGATTGGGCTGTGATTAATCGTTGACCCAAACCTTATTTGAAGATGATTGGCCTTTCGTAATAGTATTCTTCTAAATTGGGCTCGCGACCCAATACGTATAGAAATAATAGGCAAATCATATATATATATATATATATATATATATATATATATATATATATATATATATATATATATATATATATATATATATTCACAAATCAACTAATATAAACAAAATCAAAAAATTAAATGTGAAATCAAAATACATTGAATATAATATAAGCTGCATCTAGGGAAAAAAAATGTAATTTGACATACCAGTATTTGGCGGAATTCTTCCTTAGGAACACGTTTTTCAATCGTCCCCACCTTCTTCTACTCTTTCTTGGCAGCCTACATCTCCTTGTTCGCGGCACTCATTCCGCATTTGCTTCACCTTACGGTCGTAGACGGAGAAAGGTCAGACTGTTTGCACGAAAAAGAAAATCCAAAAATTTGGCGACAAAGAGAAAATAGAGGGGCGGTGGAAACCCTGGTACACCTTTGAGCGAATGATCCGCCGGACAACACTGGAACTGAATCTTCAATTGGTGGTCGTCGGCGGCTTTAAGCGAGGAGAAGGTCACGAGTTAGTCGGCGACGAAAGGGTGGCCGGATTATTAGGGGAGGCGAGTATTGTGTGTTATAGAACGAAAGAGAGTAGAAATTGAGATAGATCAGGAATGATAAATTAACGGCAGTTCAATTTAGATGAGTACACGACTAGGTTAAGAAGAGTATTATAGGATTATACATTGAAAGTTGTGGGTTCTTGCGACGGCTTGGTTTTGTTGGTAAATGAGAAAAATGACAAGTTTTTGGTGAACCCCACTACTCTGCACGTGGCAAGATTACCGAATTCGCCTCTAGCTTTGAAGAGTAAATATAGCTCTACCATGCATGGATTCGGGTATGATAGTTTTATTGATGATTATAAGGTTGTCGCGCTTTCTTACTATGATGGTGACACTGAGTACGAGCCCGATTGCGTCGATAGGTTTGTAGATGTGTATTGCGTGAGAAGGGGTTTTTGGAAAAGGGTTGAGAGTTCTCCTTATGACCATTCTGCCCCTGTAACTCCGTCTGGGGCTTATCTGAACGGAGCTGTTCATTGGTTGGCCGGTAGTAGAGAATCAGGTCATGCGTCTGTAATCGCTGCTTTCGATTTGATTAATGAGGTGTTTACTAAAATTCCTGCTCCGAACAAGAGTTTTGAGTACAGTACACTTGAGATATTCGGTGGTTGTCTTTGTATGATTGTTGATCGAATGGATATGCGTACGGATATTTGGGTTATGAAAGAGTACGGTTTGGCAGATTCTTGGATCAAATACACTATTGGTTGTGGTTACGATTACGATATTTTAAACCCTTTATGTTATATTTGGGATGAGGGAGTTGTGTGGATGACCTACGATGGAAGATTGGCTATCTGCAATCCGAAAGACGAGACTTTTAAAGACATGATTGTTGATGGAGTTCCGGCCATGTTTACGGATGGATGCGTCTTTGTAGAGAGCCTCGTCTCTCCTTGTTTATGATATGTCTTATTAAAACAGGTTGAATGAATGTATTGTTTTGGGATTTAATGTTATGCTCAAGAAATTTATGGATTACTAATATGGATATATATACTATGATCTTGGTGTATTGGATTCTTGTGTAGTAGATTTTGCGTTCTTGATTTTCCGCAGTTGGTTTGTATATGAATGGTAAACATGTGTCGAGTGTATTTCACCCAGCATAGCATAGTATAAACATGTTCCAGAAGTAATCCATATGCACTACTTTTTGTAGTTCAACAAGTAATATACAATATTCGAATATGTGTTCCTTAAGTCCTTCGATTAAGGAATTAATATTGTTCGTTAACTAGTCATGTCGAGAAGTAATATCTTGTGTAATTCGGCATTGATTCGTCTCGAACACAAATACCAGCATACGGTTATCCAGGAAAAATGGCAAACAAGACTTACTACTTAAGCCAAGGAGATTTAAGAAAGATATCATTTATGTTACACAACAAATACACATTAAAGTCGAACCAAAGGCATTAGAAGGAGCACTACTGCTGTTAGCTGAGTTGTTGATTGCTGAGGAAGATTAATGTTGATCATGACATTGATCATAATCAAAATCCTAGTATGCTAATCACAATCTTAATCGTAATACTAATACTAATTCTAGTATTTATATGTATACTAATACTAATAGAAAACGCAATATTAATAATATTAGTTCAATATTGATATGCCTAATTGGGCCAACACAATGGGCCTACAATTTCTTTATCTAATGGGCCACGAACCCAATATTTAAGACCACTATCACCGAGGCCCAATCACCTTCAAGCAAGGTTTGGGCCCGACAATCTCAACTAAGCTATAAATAAAGGTTTGAACTCATTCCTTAAGGTACGTCCTATTAACTGAGCAATACTAAAATATGTATTCTCTGGACTATTTCTATGATCAGCACGTCTGACTTGAGCGTCGGAGGGGTTTCCGCCGGATCAACCCCCGGCTTAGTTCATGTGTTCTATGATCGCAGGTACCTCAGGATCATCAAGTTGTCAAGCTACTGATCTGCTTTGTTCTCCCAGTTCATTTTCTACACCACCCTAGGTGAGCTATATTTTAGCATCATCATTTTGGCGCCGTCTGTGGCAACGATGCAAACCAGATCACGTAGCCAACAAGATCCTCCTGAGGGGTCAGCTCAGAGAGAAAATAACACAGCTAATCAAGATCCTCCTGAGGCGTCAGCTCGGAGAGAAAATAACATAGCTAATCAAGATCCTCCTGAGGCGTCAGCTCGGAGAGAAAATAACACAGCTAGTCAAGATCCTCCTGAGGCGTCAGCTCGGAGAGAAAATAACACAGCTAATCAAGATCCTCCTGAGGCGTCAGCTCGGAGAGAAAATAACACAGCTAATCAAGATCCTCCTGAGGCGTCAGCTCGGAGAGAAAATGACACAGCTAATCAAGATCCTCCTGAGGCGTCAGCTCGGAGAGAAAATGACACAGCTAATAACCTCCCAGTCCGTGGAGGATCTGGCATGCCACCTCTTCCACGTGCCGCGGAGCCACTTCCTCCACGTGCCGCGGAACCAGCTCCTCCACGTGCTGCAGATCCACCTCGCGAGGTTCAGGTGATCCCCCCTCGGGACCCACCACTCGCCGATCCACCACTCTCTGCTCCTCGACTGGTTCAAATAACCGAGGATGCGCTTCAACGCATGATAGCAATAGTTTTAACTCGCGCTGCCACAGAGGTCGTGACCCAATATATCGCCACGATGGGAGCAAATGCTCCCAACGCGATACCAGCACCTGTTCCACATGTGGAGCCACCTATGGCACCACCGCCATCGACTCCTTGGGGGCTTACATCGCCCCCAAAATAGTTCGTTCGCCAAGGGTTATCGAATCCCTGGGGGCTTACATCTACCCCCAAAATATTTTGCTCGCCAAGGGTTATCGACTCCCTGAGGGCTTACATCTGCCCCCAAAATATTTCGCTCGCCAAGGGTTATCGACTTTCTGGGGGCTTACATTTGCCCCCAAAATATTCCGCTCGCCAAGAGTTATCGACTCCCTGGGGGCTTACATCTGCTCCCAAAATATTCCGCTCGCCAAGAGTTATCGACTCCCTGGGGGTTTATAGTGCCCCCAAAATATTTTGCTCGCCATGGGTCATCGACTCTCTGGGGGCCTACTTCCGCCCCCCCTCGAACGGTTCAGATAACCGAAGAGGACCTTCAGCATATGATCGCCGAAAATTCAACAATATCAACTTCTACTTGCTCCTCTAACGGTTCAGATAACCGACAAAGACCTTTAGCATACGACCGCGAAAGCTTCAACTCGTGTTGTCACTGAAGCAACGACACAACCGTCTGCATTCACCTCAGACCATAGGTCTCGAGCGCCTCATCCTACAGTGGGTGGTTAACCCATCCCAACGTTGGGCATGGAGTATTTTGTTAACCCTTCAACCCCAAGTGGGTTCACATCACATCGCAAGAGGCAAGTATAATCTTCCTACTCAAAAAATAGAACATCCCAAGGGGTGAACATCAACCACCAAAATAAAATAAAAAAAAGGGGTAAAATCGCGCACGCGAGACCCTAGAAGAAAAATAGAAGAAAAAAGAAGAAGATGAAAAAAGAGAAGAAAGAAGAAGAAGAAAAAAAAAAAAGAGTAAAAAAAAAAAAATAGAATTGCGCGCCAGACATGCGCCCAGATCGCGCGCCTCCCAGCAAACGGCTCCCTCCAAACCGCGCGTCAGCCCCACATGGCTGCATTTACCTGCCTCGGGGCGCGCGCGCCACTAGTTACACAAAAAAACAAAAAAAACAAAAAAAAAACAAAAAAAAAAAAGAAAAGGAAAAGAGGGAGCTGCACGTGGAGCTCATCAATGCACCTCCCAAAGCAAGTCTCTCTCTCCTCCATTAATGTGCGTCCCATGACCCCATCACCTCTCCTCTACATCAAATCGCGCGGCCCCCTTCTTCTACATCAAATCGCGCGCTACTCCATCAAGTCGCGCGGGTATATCTACACCTAACCGATCGCGCGCGGTTTTCTACTGGTTAAACATAATTGCATGGGAATTTCGACCCGCTCAACTAAATCGCGTGCCGATTTCACCTCGATTCATCAAATCGCGCGAGAATTTTAACGCGCTCTATCAAATTGTGTGCGCTCTCCAAATAAAAATTATTATTTCTCCACACCACGCCACCAATTATCAGTACACCACGACACCGATATACTCTCGACACGATCCGGTATTATTTTCGACTCGACTCCCATATCGTATCGAGAGTGGGGGGCTTGCAAGTTTCTAACGAGGAGCCAACTCCCTCGGATCTACAAAACCACAGCGAGATAACTCCCACGAGGAGACTGTTAAGTGTATATTTTTACACTTTATCGTACCTTTTTATTTGGGCTTTTGGTGTGTTTTAATGATAATTGGTGCTTAAAAAGTTGATTTATTGTATTTTAGGTACAAATTGAAGAATTGGAAAAGTATGGGGTCAAAACTGCAATTTTGGCGAAAATATGGGTCAAAAGTGAAAATATCAAAATTCTGAAGAAACAAGGCTCGGACCCCGTCCCAGTTTTAGTGCAAATTATGGGACCCCCGTCCCATACCCCGAAGTTGCGCAGTAAAGGGATTTTAATTGCACAAGGAAACTGCCTTCTTCCCCAAGTTCTTCACCCTATATAAGACCAATCCAAGCACACAATTAGGGATCCTTTTACGCAATTTGGAGAGCAACAAAGCAATAACGAAGACGAAGAATTCGAAGACTCTAAGCATAGATTTATCGTTTATGACTTATTTTATTTGTGTTTTTCCTTTAATCATGAGTAGCTAATTTTCTTATTTCTAGGATTTTATTTGGAACCCTATGTGGGATTTTTGAACCCAATTCTATGATTTTATGCAAGTTTTAATTCCGGATTATTTCTTCTACTTGTTTTATTAAGTTCATGAAACTGGCCACTTTATGCGCTTTTATGTTATTGTTAATCGCATGAATCGGAAGATCGGGTTAATAATTAGAACTGTGGTATAAGAGCCTTTGTGGTATTAACATAGGAATATAGTTAATCTCTTAGGTAGCCATTATTGAGATTTGTGCTTAATGCTGTGTTCTAGAATTAATTGCATAGGAATATAGTAATTGAATCTAGAGTATTAGAATTGTAATACACGCGGAAGCGGGTTATGATTATTTTAGCATCTCTGGTTAATAATCCGGGTTAATTGCTTGCATAATTGAAGGAATTGGGGGAATAATAATCACATAGGGGGAAGAATAAAATCCTAGGCTTGTTTTTCATTGATTAAATCTTCGTTTTAATTGCTTTCTTGTTCTTTCTTGTCTTTTTAAGTGCTTCAGTTTAATTTAGTTTATTAATCATCTTGCGACTGTGTAGGGTGGGCTTGATAACAATTGGTAGAATTTAGCGTCTAGGATTAGATAATTAAATATTCCCTGTGGGTTCGATATCCGGACTTTTAGTCCACTATATTACTTGTACGATACGTGCACTTGCGTGTAGGTTTTCGACCAACAAGTTTTTGGCGCCGTTGCCGGGGAATATTTTAATTATTTATTTTATTCTAGCTCTAAATTTGAACAATTTTCACGATTCACCCATTTAATTTTTGTTTTATTTTATTTTTGTTTTAGGTACGGTGTATGCCTAGGATACTCGATCTTGCCAGAGAACCGTTTGATCCCGAAATCGAACGCACTTTTCGAGCCGCTAGGAGACGTCAACACGCAACCAATACAATGGAGGACGAAGAACGCATACGCGCAGCGGGTAATTTACTCGGGGCCAACGGAAACCAAGTCCAAGACCCACCCCCTCAACTTCCAGTACAGCCAGCAGTTAGGCCACGGGCACTTCAAGACTACATAATCCCGACTCATGACGGATTCCGCCCGAGCATCCAATATCCACCCATTGAGGCGCATAATTTTGAGATCAAGCAAGGCCTTTTGACGATGCTCCAAAATAACGGGCTATTTAGTGGGTTGGCAGGTGAAGATCCCCATCTTCACATTGTCAATTTTCTAGATACCTGTAACTCCCACCGTCAAAACGGCGTTTCCCAAGAG